TGCGGAACGTGAAGAACCAGTGGCATCTACATCTACAGAACGTGAAGAACCAGTGGCATCTACATCTGCAGAACATGAAGAACCAGTGGCATCTACATCTGCAGAACGTGAAGAACCAGTGGCATCTACATCTGCAGAACGTGAAGAACCAGTGGCATCTACAGAACATGAAGAACCAGTGACATCTACATCTGCAGAACGTGAAGAACCAGTGGCATCTACATCTGCAGAACGTGAAGAACCAGTGGCATCTACATCTGCAGAACGTGAAGAACCAGTGGCATCTGCAGAACGTGAAGAACCAGTGGCATCTACATCTGCAGAACATGAAGAACCAGTGGCATCTACATCTACAGAACATGAAGAACCAGTGGCATCTACAGAACATGAAGAAGCAGTGGCATCTACATCTGAGGAACGTGAAAAACCAGTGGCATCTACATCTGCAGAACATGAAGAACCAGTGGCATCTACAGCTACAGAACATGAAGAACCAGTGGCATCTACATCTGCAGAACATGAAGAACCAGTGGCATCTACATCTGCAGAACGTGAACACCAGTGGCATCTACATCTGTAGAACGTGAAGAACCAGTGGCATCTACATCTGCAGAACGTGAAGAACCAGTGGCATCTACATCTGCAGAACGTGAAGAACCAGTGGCATCTACATCTACAGAACGTGAAGAACCAGTGGCATCTACATCTGCAGAACGTGAAGAACCCGTGGCATCTACATCTGCAGAACGTGAAGAACCAGTGGCATCTACATCTGCAGAACGTGAAGAACCAGTGGCATCTACAGAACATGAAGAACCAGTGACATCTACATCTGTAGAACGTGAAGAACCAGTGACATCTACATCTGCAGAACGTGAAGAACCAATGGCATCTACATCTGCAGAACATGAAGAACCAGTGGCATCTACATCTACAGAACGTGAAGAACCAGTGGCATCTACATCTGCAGAACGTGAAGAACCAGTGGCATCTACAGAACATGAAGAAGCAGTGACATCTACATCTGCAGAACGTGAAGAACCAGTGACATCTACATCTGCAGAACGTGAAGAACCAGTGGCATCTACATCTGCAGAACATGAAGAACCAGTGGCATCTACAAATACAGAAATGAAGAACCAGAAGCATCTACATCTGCAGAACATGAAGAACAAGTGGCATCTACATCTACAGAACATGAAGAACCAGTAGCATCTACATCTGCAGAAGGTGAAGAACCAGTGGCATCTAAATCTGCAGAATGTGAAGAACCAGTGGCAACTACATCTACAGAATGTGAAGAACCAGTGGCATCTACATCTGCAGAACATTAAGAACCAGTGGCATCTACATCTGCAGAACGTGAAGAACCAGTGGCATCTACAAATACAGAACATGAAGAACCAGTGGTATCTACATCTGCAGAACGTGAAGAACCAGTGGCATCTACATCTGCGGAACGTGAAGAACCAGTGGCATCTACATCTACAGAACGTTAAGAACCAGTGGCATCTACATCTGCAGAACATGAAGAACCAGTGGCATCTACATCTGCAGAACGTGAAGAACCAGTGGCATCTACATCTGCAGAACGTGAAGAACCAGTGGCATCTACAGAACATGAAGAACCAGTGACATCTACATCTGCAGAACTTGAAGAACTAGTGACATCTACATCTGCAGAACGTGAAGAACCAGTGGCATCTACATCTGCAGAACGTGAAGAACCAGTGGCATCTACATCTGCAGAACGTGAAGAACCAGTGGCATGTGCAGAACGTGAAGAACCAGTGGCATCTACATCTGCAGAACATGAAGAACCAGTGGCATCTACATCTACAGAACATGAAGAACCAGTGGCATCTACAGAACATGAAGAAGCAGTGGCATCTACATCTGAGGAACGTGAAAAACCAGTGGCATCTACATCTGCAGAACATGAAGAACCAGTGGCATCTACAGCTACAGAACATGAAGAACCAGTGGCATCTACATCTGCAGAACATGAAGAACCAGTGGCATCTACATCTGCAGAACCTGAACACCAGTGGCATCTACATCTGTAGAACGTGAAGAACCAGTGGCATCTACATCTGCAGAACGTGAAAACCAGTGGCATCTACATCTGCAGAACGTGAAGAACCAGTGGCATCTACATCTACAGAACGTGAAGAACCAGTGGCATCTACATCTGCAGAACGTGAAGAACCCGTGGCATCTACATCTGCAGAACGTGAAGAACCAGTGGCATCTACATCTGCAGAACGTGAAGAACCAGTGGCATCTACAGAACATGAAGAACCAGTGACATCTACATCTGCAGAACGTGAAGAACCAGTGACATCTACATCTGCAGAACGTGAAGAACCAATGGCATCTACATCTGCAGAACATGAAGAACCAGTGGCATCTACATCTACAGAACGTGAAGAACCAGTGGCAACTACATCTGCAGAACGTGAAGAACCAGTGGCATCTACAGAACATGAAGAAGCAGTGACATCTACATCTGCAGAACGTGAAGAACCAGTGACATCTACATCTGCAGAACGTGAAGAACCAGTGGCATCTACATCTGCAAAACATGAAGAACCAGTGGCATCTACATCTACAGAACATGAAGAACTAGTAGCATCTACATCTGCAGAATGTGAAGAACCAGTGGCATCTACATCTACAGAACATGAAGAACCAGTGGCATCAACATCTGCAGAACGTGAAGAACCAGTGGCATCTACATCTGCAGAACGTGAAGAACCAGTGGCATCTACATCTACAGAACGTGAAGAACCAGTGGCATCTACATCTGCAGAACATGAAGAACCAGTGGCATCTACATCTGCAGAACGTGAAGAACCAGTGGCATCTACATCTGCAGAACATGAAGAACCAGTGGCATCTACAGAACATGAAGAACCAGTGACATCTACATCTGCAGAACGTGAAGAACTAGTGACATCTACATCTGCAGAACGTGAAGAACCAGTGGCATCTACATCTGCAGAACATGAAGAACCAGTGGCATCTACATCTACAGACCGTGAAGAACCAGTGGCATCTACATCTGGAGAACGTGAAGAACCAGTGGCATCTACATCTGCAGAACGTGAAGAACCAGTGGCATCTACATCTGCAGAACGTGAAGAACCAGTGGCATCTACATCTGCAGAACGTGAAGAACCAGTGGCATCTACAGAACATGAAGAAGCAGTGCCATCTACATCTGCGGAACGTGAAAAACCAGTGGCATCTACATCTGCAGAACATGAAGAACCAGTCGCATCTACATCTGCAGAACATGAAGAACCAATGGCATCTACATCTGCAGAACATAATGAACCAGTGGCATCTACAGAACATGAAGAACCAGTGGCATCTACATCTGTGGAACGTGAAGAACTAGTGGCATCTACATCTGCAGCACATGAAGAAGCAGTGGCATCTACATCTACAGAACGTGAAGAACCAGTGGCATCTACATCTGCAGAACGTGAAGAACCAGTGGCATCTACAGAACATGAAGAACCAGTGGCATCAACATCTGCAGAACGTGAAGAACCAGTGGCATCTACATCTGCAGAACGTGAAGAATCAGTGGCATCTACATCTGCAGAACATGAAGAACCAGTGGCATCTACAGAACATGAAGAACCAGTGGCATCTACATCTGCGGAACGTGAACAACCAGTGGCATCTACATCTGCAGAACGTGAAGAACCAGTGGCATCTACATCTGCAGAACATGAAGAACCAGTGGCATCTACAGAACATGAAGAACCAGTGGCATCTACATCTGCAGAACATGAAGAATCAATGGCATCTACATCTGCAGAACATGATGAACCAGTGGCATCTACAGAACATGAAGAACCAGTGGCATCTACATCTGCGGAACGTGAAGAACTAGTGGCATCTACATCTGCAGAACATGAAGAACCAGTGGCATCTACATCTGCGGAACATGAAGAACCAGTGGCATCTATATCTATGGAACATGAAGAACCAGTGGCATCTACACCTGCAGAACATGAAGAACCAGTGGCATCTACAGAACATGAAGAACCAGTGGCATCTACATCTGCAGAACGTGAAGAACCAGCGGCATCTACATCTGCAGAACGTGAAGAACCAGTGGCATCTACATTTGCAGGACGTGAAGTACCAGTGGCATCTACATCTGCAGAACGTGAAGTACCAGTGGCATCTACATCTGCAGAACGTGAAGAACCAGTGGCATCTACATCTGCAGAACGTGAAGAACCAGTGGCATCTACATTTGCAAAACATTAAGAACCAGTGGCATCTGCAGAACGTGAAGAACCAGTGGCATCTACATCGACAGAACGTGAAGAACCAGTGGCATCTACACCTGCAGAACGTGAAGAACCAGTGGCATCTACAGAACATGAAGAACCAGTGGCATCTACATCTGCAGAACGTGAAGAACCAGTGGCATCTACATCTGCAGAACGTGAAGAACCAGTGGCATCTACATCTGCAGAACGTGAAGAACCAGTGGCATCTACATTTGCAAAACATTAAGAACCAGTAGCATCTGCAGAACGTGAAGAACCAGTGGCATCTACATCTGCAGAACGTGAAGAACCAGTGGCATCTACATCTGCAGAACGTGAAGAACCAGTGGCATCTACATCTGCAGAACGTGAAGAACCAGTGGCATCTACATTTGCAAAACATTAAGAACCAGTAGCATCTGCAGAACGTGAAGAACCAGTGGCATCTACATCGACAGATAATACAACTTTTAAAGCCATCTCGCGTGTTTAGTGTACACGCCGGACAATGCGTTTGGAATCGACGGGAGTAAAGATGGACTCACGAGCAGACCTCTGGAACCCAACACGTCCGTAAGCAGAGGAGTCCCTGGAAAGTTCAGTGCGCCTTAACCTGCTAGTGTGTAGTTTAACGACGTCTTCATATTGACGCCATCTAACCCATAAAACCTTTATTATGAATGTCGCTGTGAAGGGCAGACGGACCCCAGCTCCTGCTGCAGCTGCTCCTCGCGGCGCTCCATCTCCCGCAGCAGGGACCCAAGGCGGCACAGCTCCCTCTCCCTCTCCTCCCGCTCTCCGTGGAGCGCTCCCTCTCTCTCTTCGCCCCGCAGTCTCTCCAGCTCCTCGCCCCGCACTCTCTCCAGCTCCTCGCCGTATATCCGGTCTCTCTCTTCGCCCCGCAGTCTCTCACGCTCCTCGCCCCCGCACTCTCTCCAGCTCCTCGCCGTATATCCGGTCTCTCTCTTCGCCCCGCAGTCTCTCACGCTCCTCGCCCCGCACTCTCTCCAGCTCCTCGCCATATATCCGGTCTCTCTCTTCGCCCCGGAGTCTCTCACGCTCCTCGCCCCGCACTCTCTCCAGCTCCTCGCTGTATATCCGGTCTCTCTCTTCGCTCCGCACTCTCTCACGCTCCTCGCCCCGCACTCTCTCCAGCTCCTCGCTGTATATCCGGTCTCTCTCTTCGCCCCGCAGTCTCTCGCGCTCTTTACTCCGAACTTTCTCTAGTGCTTCTGTCTGCACTCTCTCCTCACTACGTACTCTCTCCCTCTCCTCACTACGCACCCTCTCTTCCCTCCGCACTCTCTCCCTCTCCTCACTACGCACCCTCTCTTCCCTCCGCACTCTCTCTCTCTCCTCACTACGCACCCTCTCCCGCTCTTCACTACGCACCCTCTCCCGCTCCTCACTCCCAATTCTCCCGCGCTCTTCGTGCGGTAGACGCGTCTCCTGCAGTCGGGTCTGATGTCACAACCACCATGATCATCACACCACTATTGCCAACATCACCACGACCATCATCACCACCACCACCACCACCGCCACATCTGTTATCATAATCATCATGACCATCATCATCACTATTATCATAATCATTATTAGGCAAGGTAGTTAACATCTCACCACCGTGGTGACGATGATAATGATGAGATAGACACGCAGACTCCAAATATACACCAGGCGTCATGGGCCGGGATCGAACCCACGAACTCCTGTATACCAGGCGAGGTAGTTAACATCTCCTAGCCACCATGATGATGATGATGAGATAGAGACACACAGACTCTAAATATACAGCAGCAGGTGTCAGGGTCGGGATCGAACCCACGATCTCCTGTATACCAGGCAAGGTAGTTAACATCTCCTAGCCACCGTGATGATGATGATGAGATAGAGACACGCAGACTCTAAATATATAGCAGGCGTCAGGGTCGGGATCGAACCCACGACCTCCTGTATACCGGGCGAGGTAGTTAACATCTTCCAGCCACCTTGATGATGATGATGAGATAGAGACACACAGACTCTAAATATACAGCAGCAGGTGTCAGGGTCGGGATCGAACCCACGATCTCCTGTATACCAGGCGAGGTAGTTAACATATCCTAGCCACTACGGCACCCCACTGCAGGGTCACCTTCATCCAGCAGCGGATTGACCATAGTCTGTGTGTGATTATTATTACTGTAGCAATATTATCATTCTCACCTGTGCGTCTTCGAGTCTCGACTGTCCCGGCAAACCTTCAGTGAACAGGAAAACATTTCCACGCTGAACGCTTGCTCACAATGCTGGCAAAATAAAATGTCCCATTTTGTAGCTGCTCACCCCGAGCTAGAAATGCTCTTATAGTGGCCTTTGGGCGTTCCCTGGTCTGACACTGTTGAGAGACTAGGCCCTCAAGAAGGCTGTCTCGGGTGTAGGCCAATCAGACTTCAAAGACAGTGCGTACATTGTTTTCATATTCATGACAAGTACTGCGTGTGGTTAAATGCAGTCACTTGATTCCTTGCAAAAGGTTTATATTTGGCATTTGGACACCTTAACACAAACTCGATTTGAGGCTTTCGTGACTGAAGGAATTACTCTTCGGTTCTTTCGGTAAAGTCGCGTGGAGAGAAAATAAATTAAATAATAGAGACGACGTTTCGATTGCAACACAAGCAACCGTCATCAGGTTGAACTACATTTGAGAGAGAGAGACAAAACACAGACACGGAAACACACAGACAGACGGAGACACAAGCAGAGACACACAGAGAGAGAGACACACACAACTCCTGTGTTGTTGCCAGAAAGGGTAAACACATAATACTGTGTAGGAACTTCCTGGTTACTACACCACCAGCCCACAGGGGATTATTGTGTCCGTCCGTCCGTCGTGCATCCAAAATGGGAGGGGTGGGGCTGGGTGGAGAGGGGAGGGTGGGGAGGGGCTGGGTGGGGAGGGGTTCAGTGGGGAGGGGAGAGTGGGAGGGGCTGAGTGGGGAGGGTGCGGCTGGGTGGGGAGGGGCTGAGTGGGGAGGGTGCGGCTGGGTGGGGAGGGGCTGGGTGGGGAGGGGATGGTGGGGAGGGTGGGGCTGGGTGGGGTGGGGCTGGGTGGGGGGTGGGAGGGGTGGGGCTGGGTGGGGAGGGTGGGGAGGGGCTGGGTGGGGGTGGGAGAGGTGGGCTGGGTGGGGGGTGGGAGGGGTGGGGCTGGGTGGGGAGGGGCTGGTCACCCCGTGGTGCCCTTATAAAACTCAACGTTTAATCTACTCACGCCGGCTTGTGCCTGCCCTCACAGTCGGGCATATTGTGCGGAATGCACCACGTGGTGCCGCTGTTGACCCTGGCAATTGACCGAGCAACCCAACGTTCCTACCAGCTCCCTCCGCAGGAATGTGTTTATTATTGTTTCATACATGCTCATAAAATCTCCTTATAACAACCACCATGTCAATAAATCGAAGGGAGCCCCCTTCCCCCCACCCCCTCCCAGCAGCAGCTGTCCCTGTGCGGCATGGGTGTCTGTGCGAGTCTGTGGGTGTCAATGTTAATCTATGGGTGTCTGTGCTAGTCTGTGGGTGTCTGCGTGAATCTGTGGGTCTCCATGTGAGTCTATGGGTCTCTGTGGAAGTCTATGGGTCTCTGTGCGAGTCTATTCGTCTCCATGTTAACCTGTGGGTCTCTATGCGAGTCTATGGGTCTCCGTGTGAGTCTATTCGTCTCCATGTTAATCTGTGGACCTCTATGCGAGTCTTTGGGTCTCTATGCGAGTCTATGGGTCTCTGTGTGAGTCTATGGGTCTCTGTGTGAGTCTATGGGTCTCAATGTGAGTCTATTTTCAAGAACGTAATGGGACCCGCCGCGACCGGCTAGGGTTTCGCAGCGTTGGACCCGCATGCCAACACGGCCATCATGAACCTCACCTACCTGAGGGGGCGGCCGGTGTCCACAGAAGGGCTCTTTAAGGCGTCCGTTCTCTTGCCTGAGGTGCAGCACTTCCCTGGAGGAGGAATCGAACTTGGATGCCGGTTCCTTTGGGGTCGCCGGCGTGGCAAAGTGAGACGGAGGGATGAGGCTGGCGGCGCCTGCGAACAAGGAACAAGAACCACGCACAGGCGCGGGTTTTGTCAGGCTTGCCGGCACGCGTCCGACAACGGAGGTGAGCTATCACGGGGAGCGGAGGCGCAGTGATTAGGGCTACGCTGCACGATGAACCCGGCGGCCCCGCCCGAGTTCGATTTCCCGCTCACGGCCGCCAACACCGGTGACGGATTATCTGAACCGATCCCGGGCCTCCCCTAGGTCGACTCAGCCTTAACTGAGCACCCGGTGTGGTGTGTATAACAACATCAGCACCGCGGAGACAAAGGAGGCCAGGCGTGGTGGGTGCTGGTCCACCCACCCCCTTGTGTGCCGTGCCGGCCTTCATAGGTTGCTGCTATTCGCTGAGAGCACTGAGTGAGTGGAATCGGTATGATCTCCCCTGTTCTACAGAGTGAGTGAGTGGAGTTTGTATGACCTCCCCCTGTTCTACAGAGTGAGTGAGTGGAGTTGTATGATCTCCCCCTGTTCTACAGAGTGAGTGAGTGGAGTTTGTATGCACCTCCCCTGTTCTACAGAGTGACGTGAGTGGAGTTTGTTATGATCTCCCCCTGTTCTACTGAGTGAGTGAGTGGAGTTTGTGTGATCTCACCTGTACTACAGAGTGAGTGAGTGGAGTTGTATGATCTCACCCTGTTCTGCAGATGTGAGTGAGTGGAGTTTGTGTGATCTCCCCTGTTCTGCAGAGTGAGTGAGTGGAGTTTGTGTGATCTCACCCTGTACTACAGAGTGAGTGAGTGGAGTTTGTATGATCTCACCCTGTACTACAGAGTGAGTGAGTGGAGTTTGTATGATCTCCCCCTGTTCTACAGAGTGAGTGAGTGGAGTTTGTGTGATCTCACCCTGTACTACAGAGTGAGTGAGTGGAGTTTGTATGATCTCACCCTGTTCTGCAGAGTGAGTGAGTGGAGTTTGTGTGATCTCCCCTGTTCTGCAGAGTGAGTGAGTGGAGTTTGTGTGATCTCCCCCTGTTCTGCAGAAGTGAGTGAGTGAAGTTTGTGTGATCTCCCCCTGTTCTACAGAGTGAGTGAGTGGAGTTTGTATGATCTCCCCCTGTTCTGCAGAGTGAAGTGGAGTTTGTTATGATCTCCCCCTGTTTTGTAGAGTGAGTGAGTGGAGTTTGTATGATCTCCCCTGTTCTACAGATGTGAGTGAGTCGAGTTTGTATGCTCTCCCCTGTTCTACAGAGTGAGTGAGTGGAGTTTGTATGATCTCACCCTGTTCCTCAGAGTGATGTGAGTGGAGTTTGTGTGATCTCACCCTGTTCCTCAGAGTGAGTGAGTGGAGTTTGTGTGATCTCCCCCTGTTCTGCAGAGTGAGTGAGTGGAGTTTGTGTGATCTCCCCCTGTTCTACAGAGTGAGTGAGTGGAGTTTGTATGATCTCCCCCTGTCCTACAGAGTGAGTGAGTGGAGTTTGTGTGATCCCCCCCTGTCCTACAGAGTGAGTCAGTGGAGTTTGTGTGGTCTCACCCTGTACTACAGAGTGAGTGAGTGGAGTTTGTATGATCTCACCCTGTTCTGCAGAGTGAGTGAGTGGAGTTTGTGTGATCTCCCCCTGTTCTGCAGAGTGAGTGAGTGGAGTTTGTGTGATCTCCCCCTGTTCTGCCGAGTGAGTGAGTGGAGTTTGTGTGATCTCCCCCTGTTCTACAGAGTGAGTGAGTGGAGTTTGTATGATCTCCCCCTGTTCTGCAGAGTGAGTGGAGTTTGTATGATCTCCCCCTGTTTTGTAGAGTGAGTGAGTGGAGTTTGTATGATCTCCCCCTGTTCTACAGAGTGAGTGAGTGAGTGGAGTTTGTATGCTCTCCCCCTGTTCTACAGAGTGAGTGAGTAGAGTTTGTATGATCTCACCCTGTTCTACAGAGTGAGTGAGTGGAGTTTGTGTGATCTCCCCCTGTTCTGCAGAGTGAGTGAGTGGAGTTTGTGTGATCTCCCCCTGTTCTACAGAGTGAGTGAGTGGAGTTTGTATGATCTCCCCCTGTCTTACAGAGTGAGTGAAGTTTGTATGATCTCCCCCTGTTCTACAGAGTGAGTGAGTGGAGTTTGTATGATCTCCCCCTGTTCTGCAG